GCAAGCTCGAGCCTTCCGCCCCAAGAGGCCGCCAGGAGGCCCCCAGGAGGCTCCTCAAGAGGCCCCAGGAGACCCCCAAGAGGCCCAAAGGAGGCCCCGAGAAGCCCCAAATCGGCCCCCCAAATGCTTCGAACCTGCTTCCAGGAGGCCCCCGACAGGTTCAGAGGCTCCCAAGAAGCTACGTCAATCTCCCAGCGAGCGGCCGGACGAGGCCCCCCAAAAAATCCCAAGAGGGTTCCAGTATTTGTATCCTTCAGCGCTCTCTGGCCTTCTTTCCCCTGCCCCCTTCCCTGCGACTTTCGTTGACTCAAGCTCGCCTCCTCTCCATTTCCTCTCTCTGCCTCTCTATCTCTCTCTCTCTGTCTTCTTCTCTTTCTCTCTCTCTCTCCATCTCTCTTTTTTTTGTTTCTCTCTCTCTCTCTCTCTCCTTCGCTCTCTGTCTGTCTGTCTCTCTCTCTCTCTTTCTCCCTCTCTTTCTCTCTCTTTTTCTCTTTTTTCCTTTCATATTCCGTGTCCTTGCGACCTTCTGCAGTCCCCGACGTCGCCACGGCTGGATTCGCTCGAGCGTGTCTTGTGATGTGCGGCGGTGCGAAGCCCGTCCCACTGATCAAGGCGCAGGTACGAAATGATGGGTCCATCATTTCTTGCCTTCCCATGTGCGTTTTCCCAATCGATTCCTGGGCCCGAGGTCGCAAGAATTACGACGTCGGAGGTCTGGGGAGGCGGGAAGCACGACCTGGACCTCCGACGTCTTGGAAAAATCACGACGGCGGTTTCGGTCTATTTTCGGCCTCCGGGGCCCCTCGCAGGGTCCCGGGACCGTCAGAAAACGACTCAGGATGAAAAAAAAAACATCCCCAGGAAGTCGTCGAGAGGTCAAGGGGCCGCGCACAGAAAGCATCACGACATCGGACGTCCAGAGAGGAGGTAGGACCACGAGGAGGAGGGAGCCCAGACCTCCTGGCGACGCAACACCAAATACAACAAAAGCTTCCCCGCGACTTCCCCCAGAGACTCTAACTACAGAAACTCCTTTCGTATTCGGGCCAGAAGCATCCAGAAACGATGTACATTAGCCCTGGCGGGGGGAGTGATGGCGATGGTGATGTTCATGATGACGACGGTGACGATCCTAGCTAGAACCTAAGCGCGCGCGAAGCGCGCGCGTGGTTCTAGTAGTAGTAGTAGTAGTAGTAGTAGTAGTAGTAGTAGTAGTAGTAGTAGTAATAGTACAGTAGTAGTAGTAGTCGTCGTTGTCGTAGTAATAGTAGTAGTAGTAGTATTAGTAGTAGTAGCACCCTACAGGGCTGGTGGGATTTTCGACCATGTTCTGCCCTAGGCGGCCCAAGTCAGACCCACGGGCGCCTCAGAGGGCCCCAAGACGGCCCAAAACGGCCCCAGGAGCACGCCCTAGAGGCACGCGTCGTCCCATGCCCTTGGGGACACGTGCATTTTTGGCAAACCTGCTTCTTTGGTCTTCACATGGCCCACGACGGCCCAACCGTCCCCCAGGATCGCCCTACGACAGCCCCAGGGCGGCCCAAGAGGGCTCCAAGACGACCCCAGAAAGCTCCACGACTGCCCAAGAGGCCCCTGAGGGCCCAACAATGTTCCCAAGGGAGCCCCAAAAGGGCCACAGGAGGTACCTAAGAGGGCCCCAAAACGACCCAACGGAGCCACAAAAGGACCCCCAAGAAGGTCTTTGATTTTCGCAATATTGGTTGTTCGTTTTTTGTATGACGTGCCAACGTCTTAACACAAGAGGACCCCGAGGCACTGAGCAAGCGATCTCGCGCCCTCACAGCGAAGGAGCGCTTTCCGTGCCCGTTCCAAGCAGGTAACGGAAAGAGCGAGGTACGAGTGATGACGTTATTGAATCGCTTCGCTCATTCCGCCAACTCGTATTGTGCCATCGCGGGGTCTTGGGGGGTCTTGGGGGCATTTGGAAGCTTCGTGGGAGCTTCTTGGGAACTTTGGGAGGCCTCGTGGATGGCTCTGGGTGGGCCCTCTTGGTGGTCTCTTGGGGGGGGTCTGCCTGGCCTCTTGGGGGCCTCCCGGGAGCTTCCTGGGGGTCTCTTGGGGGCCTCTTGGGGCTTTCTTGCGGACTGTTGGGGGCCTCTTGGGGCTCTCTTGGGGGCTTCGTGGGGCTACTTGGGGGCTTGTAGGGGCATTTCGGAGGCGTGTTTGGGCGGGAGGCTCAAAATTTCCGTTCAGGTTGCCCCTGTGGACCTCAATCATGTGGCCGTTTTGGGGCCTCCTGGACCGTCTTGAGGTTTTCTTTGGCCTCCTTTTTAGTTTTCTTTTATTTTTTACTTTTTTTTTTTTTTTTCTTTTATTTTTTTTTTTTTTTTTTTTTTTTTCATTTTTTTTTTTTTTTTTCTTTTTTTTTTTTTTTTGGTTTTTTTTTTTTTCTTTGTTTTTTTCTTTTTTTTTTTTTTTATTTTCTTGGAGCGCTGTTGGGCCGTCTTTGAGCGGTCTTGAGGGTTTCTCGGGCCGTCTTGGGGTGATCTTGGTGGCCTCTTGGACCGCCTTGAAAGGTGTGAAAGACGAAGAGGCGGATATGTAAAAAATGCACGCTTTCCTAAGGGAATGGGACGATTTTTGCTTGTGGGAGCCCTCTTGGGGCGCCGCTTAGGGACCTCTTGGGGCGTCTTGAAGGCCTGTTGGGCCGTCTTGAGGCCATCGTAGGCGTTAGGGGGTGATATTTCGGCGTCTCCCGGCTCTCTTGGACCGTCTGGAGGGCTTCTCGGGCCCCTCTTGGACCGATTTGGAGCCCTCCTGGGCTCCGAAAAAGAGTTCTTGAAGGTTTATTGGGCCTTCTTGGAGCGCTCTTGGGCCGTCTTTGAGCGGTCTAGAGGGTCTCTCGGGCCGTCTTGGGGTGATCTTGGGGGCCTCTTGGACCGCTTTGAAAGGTGTGAAAGACGAAGAGGTGGATATGTTAAAAATGCACGTTTTCCTAAGGGAATGGGACGATTTTTGCTAGTGGGAGCCCTCTTGGGACGGCGCTTAGGGGCCTCTTAGGGACCTCTCGGGGCGTCTTGAAAGCCTGTTGGGCTGTCTTGAGGCCATCGTAGGCGTTTGGGAGTGATATGTCGGCGTCTCCCGGCTCTCTTGGACCGTCTGGAGGGCTTCTCGGGCCCCTCTTGGACCGATTTGGAGCCTTCCTGGGCTCCGAAAAAGAGTTCTTGAGGGTTTCTTGGGCCTTCTTGGAGCGCTCTTGGGCCGTCTTTGAGCGGTCTAGAGGGTCTCTCGGGCCGTCTTGGGGTGATCTTGGAGGCCTCTTGGACCGCCTTGAAAGGGGTGAAAGACGAAGAGGCGGAATAGTAAAAAATGCACGCTTTCCTAAGGGAATGGGACGATTTTTGCTTGTGGGAGCCCTCTTGGGGCGCCGCTTAGGGACCTCTTGGGGCGTCTTGAAGGCCTGTTGGGCCGTCTTGAGGCCATCGCAGGCGTTTGGGAGTGATATTTCGGTGTCTCCCGGCTCTCTTGGACCATCTGGAGGGCTTCTCGGGCCTCTCTTGGACCGTTTGGAGCCCTCCTGGGCTCCGAAAAGGGACCTTGCCGGGAGTCTGCGGGGACCTTGCCGGGACCTTGCCGGGACCTTGCCGGGACCTTGCCGGGACCTTGCCGGGGTACTTTTCGCCCGGGGACCCCCAGGGCCCGCCCCGCGCGCGCGAATTAGAAATATTGTTGAGCAGTTACCGGAGATCTTAGCACGCCTCTGGCCCGTTGGGCCGGCGAATTTTGGGGCGAAGCCGTCTAGGGAAGGGTCCAGGGGAAGGGCGTTGCCCAGAAAGCTTGCAATAAAACAAGCTAATCAATGTTATGCGTATTTGTTTTCTTGGTGTTTTTATTTTTTTGGTGTAAAACAAATGAAGCGGTTCCCGGGCGGCTCCCGTGGTCGTTTCCTCGTATTTGTTCGAATTGGACGGCGCATTGGCCCCAAGACGGCCCAAGAGGGCCCCAAGACAAGAGCGTTCCAAGATGGTCTCATATGGCTTTCAGACGTTCCGAGAGCAGATGCCCTCAAGAGGGCTCCCAAGAGGGCCTGACGAGGCCAAACAGCAATGATTTTCTCTGGGTGTTTGAAGGTGTTTCGGGTTCTCGCCTTTTCGGGCCCAGAAGGGCCCACAACGGCCCAAGGCGTCCCAAAGATCGTCCCAAGACGGCCCCAGAGGCGCCCCAAGAGGGCCGAAAACAGTCCAAGAGGGCACCCAGACGGCCCCAGAGGGCCCCAAGACGGCCCAAGAGGGCCCCAGGACGGCCCCAAGCCCAAGAAGGCCCCAAGAGGCTCTCAAGAGGGCCTGAGTGGGCGGTGTGGGCACTGGGCTACTTGAGTGTTGGGACTGGGCTGGCTCCAAGACGGCCCAAGAGTCCCAAAACGGCCCACAAGGGCCCCCGAAAGACTCCCAAGAAGCCCCAGAGACGCCAAGTAACACCATGGCTCCCAACAGCGAGCGGTGACGTAACAAGCTCTGAACACCACGGCTTCCCAGATCTCGGTGACGTAAAAAGCGCTTAAGAGCAAGGTACCCAAGAGCGAGCGGCAACGTACAAGTCCGTGAACACCAGGGTTCCCAACAGAGAGCGGTCACGCAACAAGCTCTTAACGCCAAGGCTCCCAAGAGCGAACTGTGCCATGAGCCAGCTTGGGCAAGTTCCTGCAGCGCTCTGCCCGTTCCCATGCCGGCCCGCTTTCAATGTGTCCAGGTTGTGTGTCATATGCCTTTAGGATGTTTGTTGGGATGCTGCGGGAGGCGCCTCGGGGGTCCCGTGGAGGCAGATTTGAGACCTCTTGGGGGCCGTTTTGGGGCCTCCTAGGGCGCGAGGCACAGGGGACCTGCGGACACTCCAACTCGTGCCCGAGGGCACGGTGGCGGATCCTTGGATCGGTGCAGAGTTTCGAGAGCGCAGTGCTGCCCACCCTCCGTGAGCTCAGCACGAGCTGGAGGGGAACCGAGCGCCAAATAAGCCTCCCTGCGCGGATCATACGCCACCACATGATCGATATCGACCACAACGTCGCCCAGGTTGTCCGCCAGTGCCAGTGCCAGATCCACATCTGCGAGAGCCTGATCGACGAGTACGACCGAAAGGCCATGGACAAGGTCGGCGCTGCGCAAAAGGGGGCCCTGGCGAGGGGGGGTTGGCCTTCTCAGGAGTCGCCTCCCAGAAGCCCTCCCGCCTTCCAGGGAGTCTCCTCTCGGACGCCGCTCGCGAGGGCCCAGTACCTTCTCCCAGGAGGTCGCCCCCCCCTCCTGCCCCTCTTTGTGTGCGCCGTCCGCCAGTCGAACAACATCCTCAACATCCTCACGTTCATCACCTTCCTCATGGTGCCTCTGCAGATTCTGACAGGCTCCGTCGCGGCTCCGCGCCTCCGTGTGGAGTGGGAGGTGGAGGGGAGGGAGAGGGGGAGGGGGAGGAGGAGGAGGAGGAGGAGGAGGAGGAGGAGGAGGAGGAGGAGGAGGAGGAGGAGGAGGAGGAGGAGGAGGAGGAAGGAGGAGGAGAGGGGAGTGGGGAAGGACAGTAGGTTGCGCTCGCGGTATATCTGACGTCCTACTCCTCCCTCAATTCTCCATCCATCCTCCTGGCGCTGATTTTTCTAATCCGCGGACGCGTGTCGTAGCGGACTGTGGCTCCGCGCGCGCCGTGTGCGTAGTGGGTGGTGGTGCACGTGCGTGCGTGCGTGGTGGCTGTGCGTGGTTGTCGTGGTGGTGGTGGTGGTGGTGGTAGGGGTGGTGGTGGTGGTGGTGATGTGGTGTGGTGGTGATGGTGGTGGTGGTGGTGCTGGTGGTGGTGTTGGTACTGGTGCCTGGTGCTGGTAGGTGGTTGTGGTGGTGGTGGTGTTGGGTGGTGGTGGTGGCAGGATGCGGCGCGGTGGTGGCGGGCGGATGGGCGCGCGAGAAAGAGGCCCGCGCTGGGGCGAGAACGCCATCCTCAACGACGGAGGCCAAACACCGATCCGAAAATGAGGCCCACGCAGCAGCGGGAGCACGATTCGGAACGATTCGGGAGAGAAATGAAAATGAGTGCCGGCCTCAACGAGAGCAGCATTTGGGAATAAAATGCATGCGAGACGCCGGCGCCTCTGCGTGAAGTCGTTTCCGAGATTTCCCGGGCATCCTGTGTGTAAAAAACAGTAAGCGGAGGCATGAGCGGCTATCACCGGGGACTCCATGGGGGGAGGCTTCGGAGCAGAAGGGTAATGAGGCCGGCCGCCTCAAGAGGCAGCGTTTTGGGAAAAAATGAGCCTGCGATGAGAGCAGGCATTTGGGAAAAAATGAGCGGCGGGGGTGGAGGATGGAGGCGGAGGAGGAGGAGGAGGAGGTGGTGGAGGAGGGAGGCGGAGGAGGAGGCGGGGGAGGAGGCGGAGGAGGAGGCGGAGGGGAGGCGGAGGGCGGAGGCGGAGGAGGAGGCGGAGGAGGAGGAGGATGAGGAGGAAGAGGGGGAGGTGGGTGAGGCGGGCGAGGAGGTGGAGGAGGGGGGGGAGGAGGAGGAAGGAGGAGGAGGAGGAGGAGGAGGAGGAGGAGGAGGAGGAGGAGGAGGAGGAAGAGGATGTGATGATGGATGGAGGAGGGAAAGTCTCCTCCCTCCTGCTTCCTCCCTCCCTCCGTTCCTCGCACCCTGCCCGCCTCTGTGCTTCCTTTTCCACCCTCTCAGCAGCCAAGAAGCAGTCGAAGGGATCTTGGCCTGGCGGAGCAACAGCTCAGCTACGTGTATGACCCTGGGACCATTCCGAGCCAGTGTGTTCTCAAACAAGATGCTTGTTTATGGCCAAGCCACTCTGGACGTCTTGTTGTTCTACGGTTCTCTTTGCGCCCCAAACAGAGAGTTCTTGCACGCTGGGTGTGCAATATATAGGGGGCGATGTGTGCAATCAATGGTGTGCAATTCCTTTGGCGCCAGCTAGCTGGCGCAGACGATGTGGTGCAATCTAGGTGGTGCAGTGGTGCAGTCTATGCTGTGCAGCAATTTATGGATCGCACGCTATGTGGTGCAATCCGTGGGGTCCAATCTTAGGCGAAGATGCGGCGACGAGCGCCCATCAGGCGAGCTTCCCGCAATCACATCCAGTCCCCGAGGCGGCGATGCGACGGCGTCGGGCGAGCGCCAGCCGACACTTTGGCATGAGGCGGAGACTGGGCGGCGCATGCGGGCACCAGGCGAACACCCAGTAGACCCAGCGGCGACGATGTGGTGAAGTGCGGGCACCAGCCCACTCCCCGGCACACCCAGCCCATTTGTTGGGAATTCTAGACGCTTCGCGTATCCCCACCAGCCCGTCCAGAAACGACGCCCAGGCGAGTAGAGGGGTGTCCTGAGGGGCTTTTCGGCGTCTTGGGTGCCTCGGGGGGGCCTCTTTGGGCCGTTCGGAATCCTCTTTGGGGCCTCCTCGGGGCCTCTTGGGGCCTCTTGGGGCCATCTTGGGGCCTCTGGGAGCACCGTGGGTGCCTCTGGGGGGTCTCTTGGGGCCTCTTGGGGGCCTCTTGGGGGCCTCCTGGGGGCCTCTTGGGGGGCCTCTTGGGGCCATCTTGGGGCCATCCTGCGGCCTCTTGGGGCATCCTGGGGGCCTCTTGCGGCCATCGTGGAGGAAATCGATCAAAGAAGAGGGGTTCCTAAATTTGGGGGCCTCTTGGGGCCATCTTGGGGCCTTTGGGGGCCTCCTGGGCGCTTCTTGGGGCCTCCTGGGCGCATCTTGGGTGCCCCTGGGGGGTCTCTTGGGGCCTCTTGGGGGTCTCTTGGGGGCCTCCTGGGGGCCTCTTGGGGGGCCTCGGAGCCATCTTGGAGGAGATCGATCAACGAAGGGGGGTTCCCTAATTACAGTCCCCCCCTCAGGAGCCACGATCCTCGTGAGGGGTGTCGAATTTTAGCCCTCCCAGGGGTCGTTCTCGGACGCTCTAACTACCCGCGGCCCCCCCTGTCCAGGTCAGTGGGGAGGGGGTAGGGGGAGGGGTAAACCCCTCCCCGAAGGGGAAGAAGGAGGGGTGGAAGAGGAAACGCTCTAAGCCACCGACGCCCAGAGGGCTGGTGGGATTGTCCGCGAGCGTGGACCCCAACCAGTGAGCCATTGCACTGAGGATGTGTCGGTTATGTAACGTAAAACGTAAAATGCCCAGTGCAAATTTTGTGGTGTAAGCTGTGTGGTGAAGCCTCTGTGGTGCAAGCTGTGAAGTGATAGCCACGTGGTGTAAGCTGTGTGGTTAGAGCTATTTGGTGCAAACTGTGTAGTGCTGTAGTGCAAGCTTGGTGCAGGCTGGTGGCGCTCCCAGGCGAAGCCTCGACAACCTCACCCATTGCACGGGGCGCCCCCGAGGCGCCCATGGCCGCCCACCTCCGGCGAAACCTCGGCAACCCCAGCCAGTGCACAAGGCGTCCACGAGGTGCCCACAGCCGCCCACCAGGCGAAACCTCGGCAACCCCACCCAGCGTACAGCCCACGAAATGCCCACGGCCGCCCACCAGGCAAAACCTCGGCAAACCCATCCAATTCTTGACGCTTCGCGTATCCCCATGTACATGTACATGAGGTCCATCGACGAGGCTGACATCCAGAGGGACGAGCCAGCCCAAGAGAAGGTCATCAGACTACAGAAAACTCTCGGAGGCGCATTCAACGGGGCGTGGACAGGTTGGGTCCGCAGGGCAGGCAGCCTGCAAGGTCTGCCTTGGGTCAGCATCCATTCGGACCCCAAGAGGAACACACTGGAGCTTTGCGAAGAATTCCTGCGGGCGTGGGAAGCAGCGGGCTACGACGCCTACAAGATGGCGAGGCACCGCCAGCTCCGGGTGGAATGGCAAAAGGTCACGGAGAAATATCGTAGCCTACTACAGCGCAGCGCAAGGACCAGCGCACCCAAGGGGCAAGATAGCGAGGGCCACCCATACCCTTGGGCCGACAGCAGCAGGGCAGTACCCACCCCTCCGGTCCCACCCGACAGGACAAGCCACCGCGAGCAGACCCCGTCTTCTAGCACAATCAGCGGGGCTGTGCAGCAGCTTCCGTGGAGCAAGCCCAGAGCCAGCACAACGGCCCCGCCAGCGTACACCGACTACAGGGAGACCACCTGGTCGGGAGCATCCAGCTCTGGAGCCCCATGGCGCCCAAGGCCGCGCTGGGAAGGGTGGGGCCGCCAGGAGGGTTCATGGAGAGGCGCTGCGTGGGGAAGCAGGGAGAAGAGGACCGCCCCGAAAAGTGACGAGCAATACGCTGACAAGCGGCAGCGAGGAAGGGAACTCGCACGCTGGTAGCCCGGCAGCTGGCCTGGCATGGGCCCCCTGCTCAGGGCAGGGCCGACACAACCCAGAACCCCCAAGGCGCACGGCCTTGGGCTCCCGGGATAACGTGTGACCCCCTTCGCGGAAGGCTAACCGCGCCCGTATACCGTGGGAGTGTCCTCCCCCTGGAACGGTCCCACTTCGGACTATGTCCTGCGGCTCCGGCCGCTCTCCCCCGCCTCTTAGTACCATTTCAAGTCACGCGGCTATCGGCTGCATCTCCCCGTTCTTCGTCGCCCCTTACTTTCAGTTGTCCAGCGGCTATCGGCTGCTACCCCCCTTCCTCGTCGCCACTGCTCTTACACTCAAGACCAGCGGCTATCGGCTGCTAAAACCCCCCTTCCTCGTCGCCGCAGCGCGGTGCCCGAGGGGAGCGGCCATCGCAGGGCCCACCGCGCACTGGCAAGAACAGTCGCGGCGGGCCCCGTGGCCGCTGGGTTCCCACTAAGCGGCCACACCTGTCGGCACAGCCAGCGACCGGGCGTGTTTCACCGCAGCGGCGGGCCGCGGGGGCAGTCTGGTGTTACCTCCTGGGGTTGAGGCGATAGACACCCACGTACTCGTGGGCCTTTAGCCCGTACGGCCGGCTGAAATAATCCCGTCGTCGGTTTTGGCCGCATTGACGGCCCGTGGAGCACCGAGCAGACTCGCTGAAGGCGTTTTCTCACCACTTCTCGGCACGCTTCACCCAGTCACTTTGCCCGTGCCGTGTGCGGGCCGGGACGCATCGGACGCGGGCCGCGGCCCCTCCAAGTGCCCATTCGTTTGGAGTCCAGCAACGCGCAGTGGCTCCCGTCGTCGCTCGCAGGAGCGGCTACCACTTTTGACCCCCATTCATATGGGTGTGGAGCCCGTGCGGTCGGCCGATATATGCTCACCCACGGTTTTGGCCGCTTTGCCGGCCCGCGGCGGACAGGGTCGACGGCCGAAGGCCCGCCCGGCCGTTTCAGCTAGCTGGTGGCTCTGGCCACAGTTTGTGCCTCCTGGGAGCAGAGGCACCACGCCGCCATGGTACCCGCGGCCCCCGTGGGCGCCCTTGCCTGTGGTCGGCTGAAATAACCCCACCCAGGCCTAGTTCGGAAGTGTGGGCCGTGAGGCAGAGGCGCTGGCTGAAGGCCTTCCTCTTGCATCATCCGCCAGTTTGTGAAGTATGCTCACTGGCCTGACCCCCCTCGGTGGCTTGTGTGTGTGGCCCGCGCGCGCGTTGGCGCTCACGCGCTGGGTGTCAAGTGAGTGGATCCGATGCTTCCCCTTAGGTTGTGCTGTTTTTCTCTTCTCTTCTCGCGCCTCCCTGCCCCCCCCCCCTTTCAGGCTGGCAGTCGGTACTCCACTCCACCTTTATTTGGCGGGTACCGACTTGGTCTTCCAAGGCTCATGTCGCGTTACTGTAAAACTCGTGAGGGAAGGTTCTGTGTGTTTCTTGGTGAGGCGTGTTATATATATTCTTTTTTTACTCGATTTTTTATCTTTTTTTATATAATCTTCTTTTCTTTTTATTTTTTTTAAGTGTTTTCGTTCTTAGTTTTTTTTTATTTTTAATCTTTCTTTATTTTTTTTATATTATCTTTCGTTATATTTTGGTATCTATCTGGCTGGAATATACGCTCAGCAGCTTTTGGGGTCCGCGTGCGGTCGGCAGGGCTCCGGCTTGCCCCCATCGCGGTTGCCCTCTTCGGCTGGCACACGCTCAGCGGCTTTGTGGGTCCGCTGTCGGTTCGCCCCCACCCGCGGGCTGAATTTCTAATTATCTGCAGGTGCACTCTGCGCGGTGTCGCGCCAATTATCTGTCGTTGTGCCCCAGCCTCGGTCACGCCGCCCTCTGGACTTCTCCTTGCGGGCCGCGAAGCAAAAAAAGTATCCCCATCTGTGCCTGGTTCTGTTGCCTGGTTCTGTGATGCCAGCTTCGAGCACATGAGGTGCTCCGTGAGTGAGGCCTACGTGCCCCTTTTCTGCTCGCCTTCGTTGCACTTTCACGGGCGGGCGTGCCAGGGTTTCAGCTGCCCGCTATGCCCTGCCCTTCGCCGTCCGGTCTGCTGGGTGCTGGCGCCACTGTGCGACGCCCCGCTGTCTGTCGTTGGCTGCCGTTTTGGAGCGGCTTAATGAGGTTCATTTTGTTCCTCGCATGTGCATTCCGGCGTTGGCTTTTGGCCCGCTGGCAATTATCTTGTTTGCTGCCCCAAGCTTGTTTCGACCCGCTCTCTGGAATCGTCCTTGGAGCCGCAGATCATAACAAAAGTATCCCCTTCTGTCCCCTGTTGAGATTGACCCGCTCTCTGGAGACGTCCTTTGGGCCGCAGATCAAAATCATATCCCCATCTGTGTGAATCCCGCTTCTTGACCTTTGTCCTGGAGCCGCCGACCAAAAAGTATCCCCATCTGCTCACATCGAGCGATCGACCTCTGCGTGTTTATGGTCGCGCCTCCGCGCCATTTTGGCTGCGCTTACTTGCTGGTCGCCACCGGGATTTTCAACGCCACCGGGTTTGGGAGTATCGGTTCTGGCTCCCCTTCTGAGTGGCTGCCCGCTCGTTCGCTTCGCTTGCCTTTCTTTTCCTTCTGCCTAGTCGCGGCCCGACTAGTGTTCGGACGGCTTTCGACCCGCCTCGCGTGCCTGTTGACCAACAGATATCCCCATCTGCCCATCCAGAAACGAGGCCCAGGAGAGTTGCCTTGATCAGGTCAGTTTGGAACTATGCAGTGGAACAAGTCTTGGATCAGCCTGATCAAGCCCATGAGTGGGGCGGCAACGAGGAGGAACATGAGGAGGAGGAGGAGGAGGAGGAGGAGGAGGGTGAGGAGGAAAAGGAGGAGGAGTCCTCTTGGGGTTCTCTCGCGGCCCTCTTAGGGTCCTCTTGGGGCTATTGGGGAGGGTCTTGGGGTCCTCGTGGGGCTCTCGTGGGCCCTCTTGGGACCCTCTTGGGGGCCGTCTTGGGGCTCCTTGAGGGGTCTTGAGGCCCTATTGTGGCCATCTTGGAACGCGTCGATCAAAAAGAGACGGAGGCGGGACACTCGCCTCTTGGGGCTTTTTCGACGATTGTTGGGCGCTCTTGGGCGTCCCCACTCGGAGGTCCCACAACGCCACACAAGGCCTTCAATAGACCCTCGATGGCTTTCACGAGCCCCGAAGGCCAAAAACGGCCCACCAGGCTTGCCAAGTGCCCTCAACGTGCCCCAATAATCCTTCCAGAAGGCTCTCAAGATACCCACAAGAAGAGCCCCCAAAGGCTGATCATCTCGCCGTCTCCATGTTGTCTCCATCCTACCCCCATGGCCACACGTTTTCATCATCCCTTCCTCGCCTTGGCAGCCTCCTGAGCCGTCTTAGGCCTACCAGTGGCCCTCCAGTGGGTCCCGGGGATGCCCAACACCGGCACAGATTTTCACAGTTTGCTTCCCTTCAGGGAGCCCTAAATGGTTGTCGGCTCTGGGTGTTCAGAACAAGCCCCCAGGCAGCTCAAGAGGCCTGCTGGGGTCCGTTCGGGACCGCCTCGGTCGGCTTTCTGGCTGTCTCAGGCCCTGCCAGCGGTCTTTTTGAGGGCCCAGTCGGGTGCCGATGCCCAGCAGATTTGACACAACCCGCTTCCTTCAGGGAGGATCTGCTGTGTCAGCTGTGTGTAAACATTACGTCAGTGTTCGGTTTCCCGAGGTGGCCCCCATACAGCCCCAAACCACCCGCTGGAGCAATTGTGGGCCGCCTTGGCAGCCTCCCGGGCCGTCTTAGGCCCCTCCAGTGACCATCCGCTCATCTTCTCCCTTTCTCTGCTCCTGCGTCTTCTTCTCTTCTTCATGAATTCTCCCTCTCTTTTTTCTTTATTCTCTTCTCCGCCCTCCTTCCCCCTCCCAACATCTTCCGTCTCGCCCTGTCTCCTCCTTCTGGATTTGCTTCTCTTCTCCTCCTTCCTTTCCCTGCTCTTGCGTCCTCCCCTCCTTCTCCTCCGCCCTGCTTCTTTCCCGTCCTCCTCGCTCCTGTTCCCCCCCACCCCAATCCGTCTCTCTTGCTGGTTCTTCCGATCCTTCTCCTCCGTCTCTTTCCTGAGGGGAACGGGCAACTCGGGAGCCAGCATGGGGCGCCCTATTTGCTTCCCCTCCTCAGTTTATCTTTCTCGCAAGTCATGTCCACTTGATCTCCAAGGTCGTGAGTGATGGCTCTATCAGGCTTTGGGTTAGACGGAGTTCATCTGCTCAAAAGCTAGATCTACCAGCGTTTTGTTTCCAACGATTGTCATATTTTCTTTGACTCCCCGATTGCCTGGTGGGTATCCAGGTATGCGCCAGACTAGTTTTGAGCGTAGGCGTGGTGTTGTTTTACCGTTTCAGTTTTACACCAGTAAGCCCGTTCCAGGAGTGTCACCGCTCTCCGCGGCGTTTTTTTTTTTTTTTTTGATAATTCCGCTCTCCGCGGCGTCCGGATCAAGCAACGTGTTGGATCTAGCCGCTTGTCAGATCTCTGTCGTGATGGCAAGGAGGAGCGCCGTGCGACGAGAGAGACAAACAACTGTGGACACGCTCTACCACAGGGGTCGGCTTGAACTCATGGAATCGACGATCCGAACTATGTAGAACAACCTATAGTCAGATTTGGGTCGAACGCGTTTTCAGCTTCAGCGATCACCGGAAGCACGAACGAAAGCCCAGGGCGTGCTTAGTATGAACCACGGACAACACAACATGCGTTGCCTTTTGATGACGTAACGAAGTTTGTTGATGTAACAGTGGCCGACTTTCGAGGATCTGATCGATGCCACGCTGTCTCCTGCACCGTCGCAGTCTGTGCATCAGCAGCTTTCAAAACAACAGGATTGCCATCCATCATTGATCAGGTGAACGTTTCTTATTCGGTGTTTCGACATTGGGCGGAAGGGGGGGGGTCTGGCTCCAGACCTCCGCTAAATGCGACTGTCTGCAGTCGTGCGTCCTATGGGGGACACTCCACCTGCTTGAAGCAGGCGCCCCAAACAGCCAAGACCTACTCCATGTGGGGGGGGAGGCAGTGCGAGGGCCCGCGCCGATCGGCAAAACAACAAATAAGACAGCTATCATCAGTGGGCGGGCGGGCTCGTGTTCAGGCTGGCTCACTGAGGCCTCGCCGGGGTCCGCCCTGTTGGCTGCTCACTGGGGGCCCCGCCTCTCCTCGGGGCGGCGGCCGGGCCCCCGCGGGACCAGGCTACTACGGCATGAACTTCGCCCACGGGCTCTACGGCAGCAAGGAGAAGGAGGGCGAGCTGTACTTCTAGGGGGCCGCATGCGAACCCTACCCCTACCCCGCACGATTTCTGAGGGGGAGGGTGGGGTTCACTTCGTTCGGGAGCCTTCGAGCGGAGTGAACCCCACCCTCCCCCTCGGAAATCGTGGGGGGCAGGGGTAGGGTTCGCATGTGGCCCCCTAACTTCTGGACCTTCGGCTCCATAGGCACGCCCGTGACGGCCCACATCGCGGGCCGTCGTCGCCGCTGCCGTCGCCGCCGTCGTCGCGCGCCGCCGCCACCGCCGCCGCCGCCGCCGTTGTCGTCGTCGTCGTCGTCGTCGACGCCGCCGCCGTCGGCCTCGCAGGCACGCTGATGATGGCGTGCATCATGCTCTACCTGAACAGGACCCTGTGAGAGCAGCTCAGAGCTCGCAGCTGGTGGCGCGCAGGCTGCCCCCGCGAGGTGGCGCTCTGCTGGGAGGGGCGGAGGGGGTGCCGCCGTCCAGGCGCCAGGGCCGAGGATCGCTGCTGCGTATGGGCGTCTGATTCCCCCCCGGGGGTCCTCTGGCCCGGAGATCCTGGCGTCGCACTTTTCCCCAGAGCGGGCGATTTTGCCTCTTTGTGGGCCAATGGACCCTCACGGATAGATCCGGCTCGAAAATTGCAGCAGAAAGACGGGGCCCAGGGTTTTGGTCGCATTTTTCACGACATTGCACATTTTCGTTATGTCGGATCTCAGAGGGGGGGGGAGGGGAGTGGGGAGGCGATGTCGACAGAAGTTTCGTGTTGCAACTCTACGGCGATCCTGACCGAGTTTGCACGCGTAGTTGAATGGCTTGGCGGGCGCTGGTTGAGCACAAAACGTCGCCGCCGAGCCCCTTATATCGCCTTCCCGCGTTAAGCTACCTGTTTCGTCCGGCCGACGTGTCTTGGTGTCGCGGCGGGGTTCAGCGTCATTTGGGCAGACACGCAGCGCTACCATGCGAACTCTGGATATGCAGCGCTTCGCTGGGTCGTACACGGAATGTCTTCACCGCAGCGGCTTCTTTGTTATACAAGCCGTAGCAGAAGGCTTTCTCGTATGACATTTGAGGAGCATGCGACAGAATTGACGAGGCTTCTCCGAGGCCACGTCAAACGCTCATTAAGAAACGCAGAGTAGCTCTACAGAGCATTCAGACAGCCCTCCCGAAGTCGCCATCGATGCCTCTTGCTCGTCTCTTCGAGCTTTGTGGCCACCTGGGCCTCTGCGCAAGTCTGCTTAAGCGCTCTGGGGAGGAGGAGGAGGAGGAGGAGGAGGAGGAGGAGGAGGAGGAGGAGGAGGAGGAGGAGGAGGCTTTCCTCACGCGCCTGGCCCCAGTGGACACCCATCGCAAAGCGAGGTGGGTACTGGGACCGCGGATTAACCGAGGAGGAGGAGGAGGAGGAGGAGGGCTGCGCGTTGACGCCGTGCTCATGGCCGCCAACGTCGGGATCGGCAATCGAGGTTTTACAACTGCCCCTGCTGGCGCCCTCACCCCACGAGGGGCCAGAGCGGCTGCCCGGGTAGCGCCCCAGCCTTCGGAGGCCAGGTTCTCAACCCATGCCCTGCCCCCGCGGCGCCCACAGTGGAAGGCAGCAGTGGTGGCATGGATAAAACACCGATTGCACACGGTAGGTTCGTGTCGTCTCGACCGGCGGCGACCCCGCCGCCGGCGTCCAACGCCGCCGGCGTCCAACGCCGCCGGTGACCCGGAATCGGTCGATACTGAACGATCTGACGTTTCGGAAACGGCCGATCGTTCAAGGTCGAACGATCCCCGCGGTGTCAGGAACCAACGCCGAAGTCGGCATTACACGAACCCGCGGCACGGGACCCGCGGCGCGGCTTCTCAAAGGCGTCGGAATCAGAAGGGGAAAACACACAGACACGATCGATCATCGATTCTCAGGAGAATATGGAAAATTATGGGAAGTGGGGGGGAAGACAAAATCCCAGAAAGCATGGACAAATAAATGGGGAACCCTTTTATTTGTGTCTATTTATTTGTGTGTCCCAGGGCCCTTTCAAGGGAGTTTTCGTTGCCTTCGGATCAGGCTCAGAAGACTCCGTAGAGGGCGCGAGGGCCTCCGGGAAGCCCCGCCGCCCTCTGCGCAGGCCCGCCGCCCCCCCCCTCCTCCCTCCTCCCCCTCCTCCCCTCCTCCCCCTCCTCCTACTCCTCCCTCCTCCTCCTCCTCCTCCTCTCCTCCTCCTCCTCCTCCTCCTCCTCCTCCGCCCCCGGGCGCGCCGCTGCACGAGGCACAGAGCACCGATCGCCGACGGGACCCCGCGGGCCACCCGCCGTGGCGCGGCTGCGGCTACGGCTTGCGCGTCGCGGCTCGGGCTTCGATGGCCGCCCCTCTGCCGCGCGGGGGCGGCGCGCGGGCGGCCGCGCCTCACGCCACGCCGGGCGGTGAGCGTGCGAAGCCTCGGGCGACCGGGGAGCTTCGCTGCACCAGAGAGAGCCTCGCCCTCGTGGCTTCGAGGAGTCGACCTCTCTTCCTCGGCGTGTGGGCCAGTTGGGGGTCTGATCGAGTGGTCCAGCACCGGTTCCAGCCACCATGAAATGCGGGCAGGTTCGAGGCTCCGGGTTTCGCCTTTTTTTGTTTTTTGGTTGCTTTTGCTTGTTCTTGTTGCTCGACCTCTGGGGGCCGTTTCCGGGCCCCGGGACTGTAAAAAACGGATCCGGAGTGAACGAGTGCATTAGATGGACCCCGTGAGGGGTCTGGGGACCGATTTTGAGCGGATTTGTTCTCATCTCCCTGTTTTGTCAGGTTTTCTTGGGGCCCATCCAGTTCAGACTCCCTGGCCGCCTCCAATCAGAGAGGGCCTCGCCCTGGAGGGTTCGAGGAGCAGGCCTCTCTCCCTCGCCCTCATAATGAGGGCGAGGAAGAATGACATTCTTCCAGACCTTCCGTGCTGACCATCCACACTCTTGCGCTTCGTGAAACGTTGATTTTTCCTGCGTTTCCTGAGGTTTTCAATAGTTTTAATGCATCACTTTCCGCGCCTTTCGCAGAGGTCGGAAGGTATGGAAGATGGAGGTGCAGGGCATTCTGAGGCCGGGGGAATGTGAGGCGAGGATGACCACTTCTAGCGGGGGCTCGCCGGGGAGCTGGTGGAGTGCTGGCGGAGGCTGGTGGTAATTAGCAAGATGTGCCGTTCGAATCGATGTGCCTTTCGATTCGGTGTGCCATGTGGAGTGCTCGCGTCAGCCATCGCGTTTTTGCGGTATATAGCGACGTCGCGATCGATCCGCGTGTGTTTGTGTTTGTCGCCTGCGATTTGCCCCGCAGCAGCTCTGCGTTCGTCGAGGACGCTTCGCGCCCTGTGTCCACTACCTAGCCTCTCTCGGACACAGTGGATTCCATTCTCTTGGCGTTTTTCCACGCATCGGTCTCGCGCCACGCGTTCGACTACAGTGTGCGCGCTCGTCCGAGCGTCGGTCCTGAGCAGCTCCCGCGTGTGCTGCGCGCCTGGCCCGCCGTGCCTGGCGCTCGCCAGGATTCGGACCAGCAGGCAGGTCTTCTTGCCTCCCCAGGTCCCCGGCCACCTTGGGCGCCTTCCTGCTTCAGTCACAGACCGGTCTGCCCTCTTCCTCCCTCTTTTTCGCGGCAGTCATCCGATCTACTTCCAACGCCTTTTTTTCTTCGTTGTTCTACCCCAGGTTCGCGTCAACGTGGCGGCGACCCCGTTGCGGGCGTTCAAGGCTGAACGCTGCCAGTGGCCCAGCATTGTCAATTGTTTTACGCTCTGGTGGTCGAAAAGCTACCCATCCCTCGAGGCTGAACGAGCCACGCGGAGTCCGAAGCCGAACGCCAGGGTCATCAAGACACATGGCCGCACCCGCTTCGATCTTCCGACCGGCCCGTGCACGGGGCTCGCCGCAGCGCCCGCCGCGCCCGTCCGGTGCCGCGCCTGCCAGGCCGCGGAGCGCCCGCCGGAAGCGGCGCCGTGGAGCCCCTGGGCTTCCGCTCGGCGGCCTGGGGGGTGCGGCTGGGCCCGGGCGTCTCCGACGAGGCCTCCGGGGGCCTCCCCCTCCCGCCCTCCTGCTGCCGCTCCTCCCCATAAGGTCCTGGCGTCGCACTGTTGTTGCACGACGGGCGACGTTGCCTTGTCTTGGGCCCCGGGGGAAGCACGGATCGATCCAGCTCGAAGAATGCCGCAGACGGGGTCCGGGGCTGCGGTCGAGTTTTTGTTTGCGCTGTTGCATTTTTCGTGACGTCGGGTCTCAGGACCCTCCTGTTGCTTCTCCTCTCCGTTCCTCCTCCTCCTCTTCCTCCTCCTCCTCCCCTCTCCTGTCTCCTCCTCCTCCTCTTCCTCCTCCACCTCCATACATCTTCCTCTAGATCATAGACAGCTCCTCCCTGTCGCGCCTCGAGACGTGTCGGTAGGGCGGGGCGAGCGTTTCACTTGAGACTTCCTCACCAGTTCTGAGCTCACACTCGGGCTACAAGTTCGCAGCACTTTTTCAATAGTGGAGCGCAGGTCGTTTGCAAAATGCGACTCTTGCCTCGGCGCCGTCCACATTCATCTCGAAGGCTTGTAACAGCTTCAAGGATTGAGCACAGGCCGCTCTCGATGCGCCTCTTGCCTTAGCGCCGCGCACATGTGGTGTAAACACGTGCAATAGTTCCTCGGAGTGAAGGGGGGCCGTTTTCCGAATGGGCTTCTTTTGCAGGGCCACGCACATTCGTCTTATCAGCTTGCAGCTTGGTTTTCGCATGCGACCTCCTAAAGCCCATTTGCTAGACATATGAGCATATGAACACATGTAAACTACGCTCGTTTGAAGTGTTGTTCCTTTTCAACATGGGATTCTCTCTCTCTCTCTCTTTCAACTCCCTCGAAGTCCATGGCCAGAAGTGTACACTTGTGCAACAGTTACACAGACGAAGGCAGTCCTTCTTCAAAAGGGGATCTGGCCTGAACGGCAGATCCACAGTGCGCTGGTCTTTCAAGTGGGCACTTCTCCTAGTGAAAGGGGATGCTTGTAAGGACTTGTGAGGAGAAGACTCGGGACGGGAGGGT